TCTTTCCCTCGCTCCTTCTGTTTCTCTCTCTCTCTCTGAAGCTACAATGTTCAGTTCTCAACCTCTGCTTTTCACCAGCAGCCAAATTGCTTTCACACATTTTAATATTAAAATGTCACAATACGTGTAAAATGTTTTGCCATCAGAAACATGTTATTTTTTTAACAATTCAGATACATCTTAAAATGTGGAAAGGACAGGAGAACAGAAGCCTGCTGAAGCAGACATGTTTCCTTCATGTATTGCTGACAAAATACCTAGTGAAAGATGGAAGAATGCAACCGAATGCCACGCAGATGTTACACTTAGACTGACCTAATTAGGATTAGCTCAATCTAAGTGCTGATCTGAACAGACATTTGGGGAGATTAGATGGGGCAAAAAATGGCTAGCCCGATCTAATTTTGTTCACTAGGAGGTGTACTAAATTTGATCAGGTAAGGCTTAGCCCAAGCTCATGAATGTTTGTACCTGTTTGGAGCAAAACCCTGGGGCTGGGAAAGCCCAGCCACTTACCCCAGTTCTGGGGCTGTGCTTCTTCTATACCCCCCACCCTCATTAGGCTATTTTTGGCTTCCCGACCTCACCAGCTCTGGATGGTCAGTACCCCCTGTCAGCTCCTGCTCAATTCCACCAATCCCCCACCCCAGGACCCACCAACCCCTTTCTCCCACCCTGCTAACTTAGATTGGGTTCCTGGCTTGGCTCCAGGCACAAGCAGCTATCTGCACAAGTAGGACTCTATCTACAATCATGGAACTTAAAATAAGATGAGTGATTTTATATCAGGTCTGGGAACATCTGCACATACTCTTAGCTTAAACTGCATGCCACAGCACTTGGTCTCATGAGTTTTATGCAACCATCTTAATTAACGAAATAAAGCACCTTGGCATAGCCTTTAAAAATCATGAGGCATTTCAGCCTCTTTATAACTGTATACATAGAAAATCTCACTGGTCATTTCTGGTTAATAAGGCCAATCTTGCTTGCAAATATTAGTCCCACATGGTAATCTTTTAAAAGTGTGAAGTGGAAAAAACCCTGTCAGTGTACCTATTTCCAAAGTAACAAGACTACTGTGACTGAGTAATATGCCAGACAATTTATATTAGGTGAGATTTAAACATATAATTTCCTCTTTTGCTTTGTATTTTGTGGGCAAGCATTAAGTAACTGAGTGAGCTTTGGAGAAGGCTCTTGCATTCAAGATATCGGTTGCAATAGTCATTGTATAAATATAAAACATGGAAGCAATATTAAATTTCATTTTCTCTCTTCCACCATTCATTTTACTGAGTATACATTATAGCAGGTTTACTATAGCTATAGCATGAAAACCTAAAAGTATTTTGAACCACCTTCAGTTTCTCTAATAACTACTATAGGTAAATAAATAAGAAGATAAAGTTTGTGAAAGTTTTATGCATCTAAGTTATATTGAACTTATATAAAATCTCAGCAGCAGTCCAATGACTGTTTTTTGACGGTTGAATTGTTAGAAGTACTAGATATTGAGAAATGTGAAAATAGAAAGAATATGTGCATATGTTTGCACCACTGAAAATAGCAGCAGTGCGCTTTTGAACTAAAACACATCAAGGGTGTTTTAGTTCAAAAGTGCACCACTGCCATTTTCTCAGTGCTGACACACATTTTGCCATTTATACAAATGCATGTGGCACAGCACCAGGTGCAACAGTTTGTATGCGGAGCAGACTCGATTAATTGAGTCTGCTGTAATGCATCAGATCTCTGGCACATCAGAGCAACCAAATGTATGTGTATAATGCCCTTAGGTTGCAAGCTGTGACTGCAGCATTGTTTCCTTAACCATGTCCGATGATCACAAGAAAACACCACACCAACAAAACAACATACTCCTTAAAAAATAAACTTATTTCCCTCATCCTGTTGGGAACTTTGTTAGGGGGGGGGGTGTTAAATAAAGAGATTTTATAGTTTTGTAGAATGCACACAAGAATCACGGTTGCCTCCGTTCACAAGCTGAACCTTCAAAGTTTGCCAGATACGTGTGCATCAACTGGCTAGAAAGACCTTACTTTCAAAGAGAAACCTGGAGGCTTAAGCAAATGATATATTTCTGAGGTTTCAGTACTTCCTGATTTTCTCTCTCAGGTCTATGCAATATGCTTACTTGTTTTCTTTCTTCTCTCAAAGACATTAAATTGTACACTGCAACACCTAATTATTTAGGGAAATCATCCCCTATCGCTTTGTTGCTTTGTCTGCAGACCCCCGACTGCTGAATAAAAATTCTTACTGCTGCTTAAAATGAAGTCATTTTGCCACAAAATTTCCCTGAAAAGCCACTGGAATCAGAGGAAGTAACTGTTACATCTTTGGTTTAGTATAACTTCTTCTGACACCGCGCAATTGTTTTTGAGAATTCACCAGACAAGTTTGCCAAGGAAGAAAAAAGGCAAATTATCTTCTCTTATTACTTGCACAAGCACTCATTTCATTCTTAGTCTGCTCAGGCTACTGAAAAATAGCTACTTCAAAATGTACACACTCAGAAGCTTAACATGGGCATTAATATGCCACAGTCACTCCCATCCTAATATTTTATCACTTTTGCACAGTTATTCCTAAATTATTAATGTTACCTATTTTTTTTCCATGTAGCATTATTCTTGGCATCTACAACAGGGAGGATTAATTATAAGTAACAATAAAAGGGATATGAGAAATAGTAGCAAGTTCTGGGCTCATAACTGCATAGAACTGTGTTTAATCAAGTATATGATATTGAAGTTGTGTTCCTTTTCTCATGCCTCTGCTTATTTGTGCCTTTGTATAGTGTTGTGTGATCCACCTTGTGATCATGGAGGAACGTGTGTGGCTGAAAATACCTGTTCTTGTGGTTATGGATTTGTTGGTCCAAGATGCGAAATAAGTATGTACACATTTATTTAGTGGTTTTGCCCTTTTCATGCCTAAATTTGGAGAAAAAGATATGACACGAGAAGTGCTTTTGTTTGTCTGCATTTTGCCTCAAAATTCCAATTGAATACAGTAGGGAAATCAAAGTATAATATATTTAGAGCATTACAGTGGCTGAAACATCTCTCAGGATATATTTTCCAACGGCACATTTGTATTATGTAAAAATATTCACATCCATATGAACATTTGCTACATAAAAGCACCTCTGGTAAAGAAAAAATATTTACGATAATGTTTGTGAAATTCAAGGTTGTGCAAGTGAATGCAGTAATACTAATTCTGAAAATACAAAAAGGCAACCATAGCTATTAAGATTCATGTTACTGTGCACTACAAGCTACAAAACTGGTTCAGTAAATAGAACATCTGAAAAAAAAATCAGCCTTCAAACCCCTCCATATTACTTGAATGGCAAAACATATATTATAGTTTCATTACTGCAGTCCTTCTGATTTAAATATCAGGTTGTCCTTGACAGGAAAATAATTTTAGTTCTGCACAGAAGTAGCTTAAATATTTAAGCTAAGAATTTTAGATGCAAGGCTTTGTCAAAAATGTGAATGGTGAACTTAAAAAAAAAAAGACCCCCCCCCCCCCAAGGGAATAGACATTCAGGTCTCTGTTTTACTTATTAAAATCCAGAGTAATGCTGTTATTTTACTAGTTGCTACTGGATTTGTGTCATGATATTGATAGGAGAATCTGGCCCAAACCTTTTGCAGATTAAGATTTTATTTTATTTTATTTTTTAAGTGCAATGTATTGCTTATTTTGCAGTGGTGTGTAACAGGCACTGTCACAATGGTGGAAAGTGTGTGTCACCAGATGAGTGCAAGTGCAAAAATGGATGGAGTAGCCCCTCTTGTGAAACAGGTAAACATTTGGAAAGCATCCATCTTTCCTACATTCATTTCCCTGCCTGAAATCCACATGATTTATACATCCTGATGTTTGTCCTGGAATTACTCAAAAAAATTAAAATGGAAAAAAGAACTGAGAACTAATAATGGACAAATCTCAAAAGGTTCAAAATTTGGGTTTAGTGGACAACTGATCCAATCCTCAGGTTCATATAACAGACCTGGAAATCTCAGAAGCAGACAATTCCTATTGGGTTTTAAGCATTTCTGATTCTAGTATTTATCCTGCAGCTGGAGAAAATGAAAAGAAAAAGAAGCTCTGAGAATTTTCTAAACCCCAGGGAAAGGAAACAGTTCAATGTCTTTCCTTAAAAAAGGAAAATTGAATTTTACCATTATTTCAATTTAATATGTTCATATTAGGCAAAATCTATTATACAGTAGAGTTAAAACTAGACAAAATTATGTATGCTCTACATAAAACTGCTATTTTCTTCTAGGAAATTAGAGCGGGTTGGGTTTTTTTTTGTTGTTTCTTTTAATGAGAACAATTGTATATGTACAGAATATGGTTTTGGTTTGATTTGTTGTTTGGTTTCATTTTTTTTTTAACTATGTCAATACAAAAACAATGTTGCTCTTTTTCAGTGCTCTTCCCCCGGGTTCATGAAATAGTGATCAGCAATACTTTCTACATAGCAAAACCACCACTGTCACAAATTGGCAATTTTGTTGCATTCATTCTCAACTGAGGATGCAGACAGAAGTGCAGCTTCCCACTGTAACTGAGAATGACCAAGCAGAAGTTCACTATTGGTTCCAGGGGGGAAGGGAGTCTAGCTGCTGGCTGGGAGTCTGCAGCTGGTTTCCCCTAGCAATGGCCCCTCCTCTCTCCCAACCTGTCACGGTTTCTAAACGGGAGGTGGGGGAGGGAGCAGAGGGAGCTCATTCTAGGGGTTCCTTAGCCAGCACTGGAGGGTGAGGTGGGTGAATTGGAGCCCCCCCCGCCTCCTGGGGGGGCTCCAATTCGCCCACCCACACTCCAGCACGGGCTGAAAAAGTCCCAAACTGAATTCCCTCTGCTCCCTTTTCCCCCTCCCATTCTGAAAACAGCTTGAGACTGGTTGGCAGCACAGACAGAAGCTGCAAAAGATGCTACATTTTTAAATGTCTTCATCTGAACCCTCATGCAACGAAGGTTCAGATTTTTACCCGGTCAACCATTTTTAAGTGGTCTGCAACTGTGCACTTGTGTTTGGTCACAGCTATAGACTCCTTTTTTTGGCCAGATTGGGCAGAAATTGTCACTTCTGTCTGTGCCCTAAGAAGCAGAATATCAATGAATTATCCTTCAGCTGTAGATGTACTGCTACTATTCCTGTATTTTCCCACCAGAAGAAGTGGCTTCTAAGTGTGAAAGAGGATATCCAAGTGAGTCAGGTGGAAGGATGTCCACTTTGTGAATCCCATAAGAGTTAGACAAATACCAAACATGTCAGCATTGTCAGGAGTTTGCTGGTTGTAATCTTATGCAGTAGCAAAGACTTGGGTACCTAAAGATATTACCAGCAGAAGAGTAGGGTAGGCACTGAGGAAGTTTAGGCCTTCTGATGTTAGCTTTCCCATGAATTTAATGAGGGCTTTAATAATGTACAAAATACAATTCAATTTTACAGGTGATTATTACATCATCTGTAAAATCATCATTTGGATGAAAGGATTAATCAAGTCTGCTGGAGTGTGGTAATTACTGCACTCTAGCAGACTCCAGTGTCATGTGCATCAGCATCCCTGCACTGAAAAACAGTGGTGGGGGTGCTTTAACTAAAGCTTGTTCAATGAGCTTTAGTTAAAGTGCCCCCATTGCCATTTTTCAGCACAGGGACACTGATGCACGTGAGGCTCCAAGCACTTTAATAAGAACGGCTCTCAGAGCCACTCTAATTAAAGAACACCTCACCCCCCAGCCCCCCGCCATTCCAGAGCATGTCTATAAATGCCCATAGTGTCAAAAACATTCTGCCTTACTGTAATGTTTCTAAATTCTTTGCAACAATTGCAGAATTGCTCTATATTTTTTCTCTAGTCAAAAAACAAATGAAAACTAAGAGCTGGCATTTTCCAAGGGATGCCTTGAGTCTAAAAAGTGGGAAAACCACTGCTCTAATTCAGTAAAATGAATCACTCTTCTATATATGCAGATATGAAGAGAGAACCATCATCTAATTGATTTAACTCTATTTTTCTCTGCTTGTTTACAGCAGTGTGTATTCCTGTTTGCCTAAATGGAGGCAGCTGTGTACGTCCAAATATGTGCGTTTGTCCTTCTGGTTTCTATGGTCCCCAGTGCCAAACGGGTAAGAAAGCTCTATACATTGTTCTATACATTCTATACACTGATAAGGAATCCAGACTTTAATGTGTAGGGTAAAGAATTAAGTCTGAAATTTTAAAATATCTCTACTTTTTGGTGGCTTGTATTTGCATGCTTAGCAAGTTTATGGATGACACCAAGCTGGGTAGAGTAGCAGATACACTAAAGAGTAGGGGTAGAATCCAGAATGACCTGGATAGGCTGGATAAACTGTCCCTAATCCATCAGATGAAATTTAACAAGGACAAGTGCAAGGTCCTGCAGTTGGGACAGAATAATTGCATGCACAAATTCAGACTGGGGAATAATTAGCTAGGCTGCAGTACTGCAGAGAAGGACCTGGGAGTTTAAAATGGACCATAAGATGCATGGGTGACTGCTGCTACCTTAGTCAGGGGGAGCACGTGTCCCCTCATTGACCAGTCAGTGACCATGGAGGAGGGGGTGCCCTCATGGTCAAATGCGCCAACCAGGAAGCAGTCGCAGTGCTCCCAGAAGTGGCCGCAGCATCACCACTGATGAGATGAATAATTGCCAACAATGCCCTTGTTGCAAAAAGAGACAACAGGTTTGGAAAATTAAGGAAAAGTGATTCTTCTACTCTATTCAGCACTGGTGAAGCCTCAGCTAGAGTACTGTTTCCAGTTTGGGGTCTCACACATCAAGAAAGGTGTGGAAAGACTGGAAGGAGTCTAGCAGAGAGTGACAAAAACAATGAGACCTGAGAAAAATGGTTTATGAGGAAAGACTAAAAGAGCTAGGATTACTTAGCTTGGAGAAGAAAACACTGATAACAGTCTTCAAATACAGGAAGAGTAGTTACAGAGAAGATAAAAATGAAGTCATAAATAATTTCCTACTGATAAATTTAACTTTAAAATATAGCTCTTCTCTGAAAAACATGTTCATGTTCTGATCTTACTCTCAGGTGTGCACTACTTATATTACAGATGGTCAAAATGTATCATCAAAATGATGATATCAACAGGGATCTGGGTTTCTGTTTTCCATGGAAAAATGGAGGAAACCACATATTTCCCCCTTTACCAGAGAAAAACATGGATTTCTCATTTTCCTGGAGTAACCCACACATTTTGTACTTTTGCAAAGAGCTCTCTGCAGGCTGGCAGAGTTCCAGCCTTCAAGAGACTGGGAGGGAGCAGGAGGAGGGCAGTATATGCACACGGCTGCCAGGCAGCCTGGAGAGCAGCTCCTGCAGGGAAGTGGGATGGGGGAGATTGAGGCCTCTACAGTGAGGGAGGGAGGGAGTTGAGCAGGGCTGGGGCTGCTGTCCAACTAGGCAGTGCCTGGGCATGGGTCCTGGGACCTGGGACCTGGGGCCACAATGCGCAGCTGCAGAGCCTGTGAGGAGCAGGACAGGGTGCAGGCAGCTCATCTAGAGGTGTGGGGGGGGCTGATTCTCCACCACTGCACACACTCCCAAAGAGACCTGTGTGTGGGGTGGGGTTGCACTGCCCACTGTGGGCTCGGGCTCCTGTCCTGCTGACCTTTCCCAGGGCCTTCACAACCCAGTGGGTGCAACCTGGTGCTGCAGGGAACAGTGGGGCCATGCAGGGATCTCATTGCCACTGCAAGCTCCATGCTGCCTTGGCGACATATCCCCTGCACGCGCAGCAGCAGCGAAGGGCAAAACTCCACACAGCCACCTCTGCTGCTGCCACATGCACAGGGGACATGTCACCAGGACAGCATGGAGCTCACAGCCCATGTGGCCCTGCTGTTCTCTGCAGCACCAGGTCACACCTGCTGAGCCTTGGGGGCCTTGGAGGAGGGCAGCAAGGAGGGAGCCTGAGACCACAGTGGGCAGGCACCGGGGGGAGCTGGACTCCATACTCTGCTTGGCTGCA